AGTGTGGGATAAAGGGACAAGCTAGGGCTGTAGCTCCGGCCCAGGTCCCATCCTGACACTAACACCAAAACTGTAGCCTGGGATCCTTGAGAGCGTCTTAAAATAGGGTGGCTCTCACCCCTCCCCACCGTAATCCCAGCACTCAAGAAGTAGAGGTAGGAGAATCAGGAATTCACGGTCATCCTTGGCTTCAGAGTGAGTTCAAGGTTAGCCTGAGCTGCATGAAACCCTATCCCAGAATTAATTAACAGAGAAATGTTTTCAGATGGAGTCTACTTGTTAAGAGTTTACGTTTTCCCAATGATCTAGTTAGGCCTTAAAGAAAAATATTTAAGCCAGGCGGTGGTGGCACACACCTTTAATCCCAGCACTTGGGAGACAGAGCCAGGCGGATGAATCTCTGTGAGTTCGAGGCCAGCCTGGTCTACAGAGTGAGATCCAGGACAGGCACCAAAACTACACAGAGAAACCCTGTCCCGAAAAACCAAAAAAGAAAATAAAAAATACTCAAAACACCAATTGTGGTGGCTTATGCTTGTAACCCCAGCACTTGGGAGGCTGAGGCAGGAGAATCATAGTGCAAAGCTATGTAGCTTCCTCTACATAGCAAGTTAAGGCCAGCCTATGTTACATGAGACCCTGTCTCAAAAAACTAAATACTGCCGGGCGGTGGTGGCGCACGCCTTTAATCCCAGCACTCGGGAGGCAGAGCCAGGCGGATCTCTGTGAGTTCGAGGCCAGCCTGGTCTCCAAAGCGAGTTCCAGGAAAGGCGCAAAACTACACAGAGAAACCCTGTCTCGAAAAACCAAAAAAAAAAAAAAAAAAAAAAAAAAAAAAAAAAAAAAAAAAACTAAATACTACTAATACTAATGGGCCAGCGAGGTGGCTGAGCAGGCATAAGCCTGCTGAGTAAACTCAGGTACACTCAGATGCAAGTCTGGCAACCTGAGTTCAACCCCTAGACACACGTAAGGTAGAGGGAAAGAACTGACTCCACACAGTGTCACACACATGCCTGCATATGTCCATACATCATGCATGCAGTGCACACACGCTAATAATAAGCAGCAATAATAGTGATTTTAAAAAAGGCTTTAGGAGCCGGGCAGTGGTGGTGCATGCCTTTAATCCTAGCACTCGGGAGGCAGAGGCAGGTGAGTTAAGGGCCAGCCTGGTCTACAGAGTTCCAGGACAGTCAGAGCTCTACAGGGAGACCCTGTCTCAAAAAGAAAAAAGAAAGAAATTCTTTCCTAATCAGTTTTTGGTTAGTGTCCAAGCATGGAAGCAGCCTGGTTGACTGAGCAGTTGGAGCGCTCCTCTGAAGATTTCCAACACAACCTGAGTCCCTCAAGTCAAAAGGTTACAGAGCCTGGGGGCACCCAGGGCAAAGGGTTGTTATATTATGGGTGACCACAAGATGGCGATAGAGCGCTATAGACAGCAGCCTCCATTCCTGGACCACCTCCTCTCCAAGTGTGTTGTGGTTTTGAGTGGTCTTCTTTCCTGACCCTTTGGTTTTTTTCCTCTCTCTCATCCTTGCCCATTTCTTTCTGTTCCTGTGTGCCCAATCTTCTTCTCCTTCACCACTGGTCATATGGAAATGAAAGCATTTTTTAAAAAATGCTAATATTCATTTAATTGTGTTTAGGTGTGGGAGTTGGAAGTGTTTTAAATGCAACATATTCACTGACACAGAAAAAAAAAGTCACCACTTTCTTTTTTTAGACAGAGGCTCATGTGTTCCAAGCTGGCCTCATGTGGCTGAGAATGGCCCTGAACTTCTGATGTTCCTGCTCTGTCTCCCAAGTGCTAAGATTACAAGCTTGCATCACTACATCCAGGTTTATACAGCGTGAGGGCTTGAACCCAGGGCCTTATGCATGCTGGGAAAATCCTCTACCAACTGATCTACTACCCCAGCCACTGTTTTTTTTTTTTTTTTTCCCCCTTTGGTTTTTCGAGACAGGGTTTCTCTGTGTAGCTTTGTCCTGGAACTCACTCTGTAGACCAGGTTGGCCTCGAACTCACAGAGATCCACCTGCCTCTGCTTCCCAAGTGCTGGGATGAAAGGCGTGCGCCACCACCGCCCAGCTCCAGCCACTGTTGAAAGGACAGCCTTAATAGTGCCTGGCCTTGGTACTTCATTGCCTTTCACAGGTTGGCTGGACTGGATACAAGTCGGCTTTCTGCATCCGTCCCAAGCTGATGACCTTGGACTTTCAGGCAAGGCTTTCTGTGGGCCTAGCTGCCCACACCAGGTTCATTAACCAAATGGGGCGTTGCCCTGGCCCACTGTCCAAGTGAGGCCCAGCCCAGTGCAGCTGGCACCAGCAGTCTGGGAGCCTCCTTGGTCTAGAGGCTTGGGGCCAAGAAGGGATCCTCTGAGAGTTCTGAACCCAAGCAGAACCAGAGGGCTTTAAATGGCTTTGGGGGTCTCTGGGAAGTTGGGTAAACCAAAGTGGACCCAGGCAGGTTCTCAGGACGACTCCGTGACCCCAGACACTTCCCTCCTGAACAGAAGGCCCTCAGATGGAAGCATCCTCCTTCCCCTCCGGGGTATTTCCAGTGACTAGTCAGAGCCAAAGCCCAGTACGGTAGAAACGGAACATGCCACTGTCACTGCGACGCCGGTTTCACAATGCCCACCACCTCCCTCTTCTCCACACTCTGTAAATCTGAGCTCCAGTAAAGGGCATTGGTTTGACATGGCCACTAACAGTAACTCAGTTTGCTTTGTAAATATCCATCTAGTGCCAAACCCCACAAAAGCGTGTTTCCTTTCCTGTGGGGTTAGAATAAGAACAAACCACCCAGGGGGCGAGTGGGGGGTGGGGCTCTATGTATGATACAGACTGTGATTGCTTAACGTCCTTTGATTAATTCGGTTTCTTTGTATCCAGAAAACAGCTGTCTTCCTCCAGAAGCTTTTCTTTGTCAAATAAGGAGTTATGTAATCAATCGTGTTTCCTTTTTCTCACTGGCCTTCGGGAAGCTCAGGGCTGAACATACTAGTGCTGAATGCGTCGCTCAGTGACCTCCCTTTATTGTAACATCATTCTTTTTTGTTTGTTCAGTTGTTTGTTTTTGTTTTTTTTCAAGACAGGGTTTCTCTCTGTAGCTTTAGAGCCTGTCCTGGATCTCCCTTTGTAGACCGGGTTGGCCTCGAACTCACAGAGATCCGCCTGCCTCTGCCTCCCGAGTGCTGGGATTAAAGTGTGTGTCATCTATGGGCAGTTGATCCGTGCAGACCCTGTTCATAAGGCCTCCCAGAGGTGGATTCATTTCACTTCTCCCATGTTCTGGGAAGTCAGCAGCCCCCATCTGTAGGGGAAGCTGAGGTACAGAGGGGCTAAATGGCTATCCAAGACCAGCAGTTGAGTGGGGTTCACACCCAAGTTTTTTAGTGCCAGCCCATGCTCTCCACTGGGAAGCACTTGCCCCCACCTGGAACTCACCTCTTGGGTGAGAGTCAAGCACCACTAAATCCCTGCAGGCGGCAGCACAGCGAGCTGGCTTTGTCAGCAGAGGGCCCAGGGAGGATTAACCACCCTTTCAGGAGGCCATTTGGAGGGTTGGCTTGAGAGTTTTTAGAACACGTATCATTTTGACTTAGAAATCCTATTTCTAGGAGTCTATGCTATGAAAATGATCCACAATACGGAAAAATTCCTTGCTGAAATATGTTCATAGTGGGCTGTTCATACTGCTTAACATGGAGTCAATGCAAATATTTGGTGGCCCACGGACGGCCCATACAGTGAGGATGCTTACGGGAGCAATTTTACCCATTTTGGCCAGAAGCTCTGAAGCAGGCTCCAAGCCGGTGCTTGGGAAGTAGAAACAGGAGGCTGTGGTGTTTAAGGTCATCCCTGGCTACACCCTGAGTTTTGAAACCAGCCTGGGATACATGAGACTCTCTTTCCAAAAAACTGAAAACATGTCTGCAAAAGGAAACAAAAAAACAAAACAAAAGAACACTTTTTTAGCCACTTAAACCAGATATTAGCATTCAAATCCTAGGTCAGGGTTAGGTCTAGACTTGCCTTAGTGCCCCTCGGGTTTGAGAACAGCCTGTAACACTTCCTGGGGATGCTCCGTGGCTCCTCCTGTGAGCGAGAACACAGCTGTCACCTCAAAGGGAAGGAGAGTTTTTTCCTGAAGCCAAATGTGAATGACCATGGCCCCCAAACAGGAATTTACGTCACCCCCAAATACTATATTCTGATCTGGTAATAGTGGAGTGAAGGTTTCCTAATAACATGATAAAATTATACATGGAGGTTGTTTAAATTTTTTTTAATCTAAAATTAAGCTGGTCAGGTGGCGCACACCTTTGATCCCAGCACCTGGGAGGCAGAGGCAGGCAGATTTCTGTAAGTTCAAGGCTAGGCTGGTCTACATAGTGAGTTCCAGCACAGCCAGGGCTATATAGAGAAACCCTGTCTCAAACCCCCCCAAAAGAAACTAAAATATATTTTAAAGTATTTATTGCATGTATGAGTGTATGAGTGTGTATGGGTGTGTGTGTGTGTGTGTGCGCGCCACTGCATGCATGTGGGAGTCAGAGGGCACGTGGGAGTCTGGTGGCAGCTGTCTGTACCCTCACTAAGCCATCTCACCAGCTCAGCTCAAGATAATTTGGCAGGGAACCTTTAACATTCCAACTCTTCAGTGGCCGGGAATCATATACGTTGTCTTGCGCTGGTGTGGGTGTTTGGGGTTTTGTTGTTTTTCTTCTGAGAACTTGACACAGGGGACTCCCTATTTACACTTGTCAGTGCCCCCCAACCTGGCAGCCTCCCACCCCTGCTTCAGAGTGCCTGGTCGGTCATGTTTTGTGATGTCCCAGGGGAGTGGGTTTGCAGTGTGCCTTCCCAGGCAGCCTCCTTGCATCCCCCGAGGAGGCGGGCCTCAGACCTGGTTCTCCCCAGCAGCCCACAGGTCAGGGGTCCATGCTCTGGGTGTGGTCATCACTCATTCTTTTTTTTGGCTATCAAAGGTGCAGATAATTAATAAGAAGCTGGATCTTAGCAACGTCCAGTCCAAGTGTGGCTCAAAGGACAATATCAAACACGTCCCGGGTGGCGGCAGTGTGAGTACTATCACACTCTCCGTGCAGTGTGCTACAGCCTTCCGTGTGAGAAGTGTCTGAGTGTGTACTTGTGAGACATTGCACAGAATAAATCACCGCAGGCTCGGGGCCTCCTGTGTCCCTACACTTACATCTGCTGTCCCCAGACTCCCCTCCCCATGTTCAATGGAGGGTCCAGCAGAATAGGGATGGCAATTGGCTCCCGCTGGCCCTTCCCTGAGAAGCTGGGTCCCCACAGTACCATGCCATGTCCCCAGGAGCCCAATAGCCTACTAGAAATGGGACTGAAGACCGTGGCACCCAAGACTGGCTATCACCTCTTCCCTCAACTCTGGAACAGGTTCTGCTGTGGATGGATGGTCCACATGATCCTAGAGGACACTAAGGACTTCTGTCCCATGTCAAGGGCAGAAAGGGCCCTAGCCACCCTAATCACCCTCTATTTCTCATCTGAGTCTCCATCTTCAAGAGAGGAAGCACTTCCTAAGCCTCAGTTAAAGTTTAAAACCAGCTCTCGCCGGGCGGTGGTGGCGCACGCCTTTAATCCCAGCACTCCAGAGGCAGAGCCAGGCGGATCTCTGTGAGTTCGAGGCCAGCCTGGGCTACCAAGTGAGTCCCAGGAAAGGCGCAAAGCTACACAGAGAAACCCTGTCTCAAAAAACCAAAAAAAAAAAAAAAAAAAAAAAAAAAAACCAGCTCTCCCCTCTGCCTCCCCCCCCAACCCCCACCCCCGTACAGGGACTCTGGTTGCAAAGAGCCTAATAGAAAGGTCATGGGTGGTATCTATTGTCCAAGTTCAGTTTGCCAGAGAAAGGCTGCTTAGGGTTTTAAATTTGTCCTCCTCTAAACCCCCCTGTGGACCCAGCTTGTCCCCAGTGAGTCTGTGTGAGATGTTCTCAGGCTCCCTCGATGGGCTTAGAAACTCCGTTGTCCTTCAGGCTGGCCTGTGCCCACAGGGCAGGATATGCAAACTGTTCTCAGGTCTCTCCTGGCCAGCTCCCTCATCTGCAGCTCTGGGTCAGTCCCAGGAAGGGCCCAGGCTCTCCGAGAGAGAGTTACTGCTGGCTCAGTCCTGTGACTGCTGGAACATTGGGTCGGGCTCTTCCCAGAGACTGCCTCGGCCCACAGGGTTTATTCTTGCAATGTGCTTCTGCCTCCTGCCCTGGCACCTGCCCTGCCTTCTGACTCTTGGACCCTTGGCCCCAGAGCAGCAAGTGCTGGCCCTGTGGCTACTGCTTCTCACGCTTACTCACAGTGTCTGCCATTTCCTCTGTCCTCCACTCCCCGCCACTCCTGCCACCCCCACCCCATACTTTTTTTTTTTTGCTTCAGAAAGAGAGGCGCACACTGTAGTTACTGCCCAGCCTGACGCTCTCCCAGTGTATACTCAATAAACTGTTCGGGAAAGCGATGGGTGGGGCTAAGAGATGGTCACTAACGACTCCCATTGCTGTCTTTGTCCCTGGGCCCTTGAATGTTGTCATTTAGGGTACGCTGACTTCCCAGCCCAGGCCTGCTGTGGTTGGGGAGAAAGGCAAGGATGTCTGGTTTGCCTCATGTCTGATGTGCTGCTGGGGCTGAAGGCTCTGGCTCCGGTGGGCTGCAAAGGGCGGATGCTCCTCCAGGGGAAGTTGGGAAGAGCCAGCTCAGGGCAGCTCTGGTCACATGCTGATTGCTTGATGAAGCTCCAGTGTGCAGGCAATCAGGGAACTTTGTAATGTGTGCAGCAGTGTGTGAGCCTGTGAACTAGCCCGTGACCACCTTATACAGAGTCACAAGATAGCCTAGGCTGGCCATGAGGGCTGTCCTTGGCCTGTGGCCACTGTTGACTACAGGATGGACCTGTAGAGAAGCGCTCTCGAGGGAGGGGGCTGGTGGTTATAGCCTCTGGCATTTCGGGCTGAAGGACCCCTGGTCTGGGCTGCACATCCGGGTTGCTGCTTGCTCTCACTCCATCTGAACCTCCTGGCTAAGCTGTGGCCTCCTCTCTAGAGCTGCTTCTCCAGGCCCCGTACATTCCTTTCTCCTCTGGCCAGTCCAGGCTTCCAACATCTCTTACCTCTCCCACACCCTGGCACTGACCCTCAAGGGACTCTACCTAGGCCAGAGGGAAGAGTGAGGCTCTGGTCCCTGTAGCATCCCTGTCCCTTCTTGGAGGTCTCTGGCTCCCATGGCTGCAGAGGGCAAATGCTCCTGTCAGGGAGCCAACTCCTTGGCTCTCCCGTCATCAACTGCCCCAGAACTCCCACAATACCCTGGATCTGTTTGTAGAAGGTCTTTGGGATCATCTGCTCTTCACCCACCTTCACAGGGGCAGGCTGACACCCCAGCACACTGACATGTGAGGCCACAGCCCTCCTCTTCCATTAGGTCCATTAGCAAAACACACACACACACCACCACCACCACCACCACCACCACCACCACCCATGAAAATGAGAGGGATTTGTTCTTTTACACCTCTGTAGAACATCCACCTTGCTTTGCTGACTCTCACACATGAGGCCACCCCTCTCCCAGGAGATGACCCTCTCCCTCACTGGAATGACCCTACCTGTGGTCTATATAGGAGACCCATGGGACTTGGAAGGTGGCGGTTAGTGACCAGCTCTCTAAGCTGTAAACCACAGTTCTGAGAGACTGGTCTCCAGGAGCCCCATCCGCCTGGGTGGTCTTCTTCTGGGCATTCTCTCAGGAAGCAGCAGCCATTCCTCAGAGCGGGCATTGCTGCTGGGCCACATGAAGGACCCTTGGGCTGGCAGGTCTCCCCGTGTGTCCTGTCTGCTCACTCACGCTTGCTGAGACACTAACCTGTGATTTCTGCTGTGTGCCTGCCCCCCCCCCTTGCTGGTGTCGCTTTGCTCTTTTCAGTAGAGGATGAAGTACCCAGGAGACTGTGTGCCCAGACACCAGGCGGCTCTTGCCCTGAGCCGTAGCGCTGTCCTGGGCCGTTTGCCGACCGGTGGTCCAGGACTGTGGGAGCTTCCAGGATGAAGCACACCCATCCTTGTTGCCTCTCCTCTTTGAATCCCTTCCCAGGAGACCACCTGGAGGCTGCATAGGCCTATCACTTCTTCCTCCATTGCGTGTGACCGGGCTTTCCTCAATGAAAGGATTTATGTCTTTGTATTTAAGTATCTGCTAAATAGATATCCCTGCTTTTCCATGGAAGTCTCTTGGGTTTCTGAGATTGAAGATGTTCAGGTCCCAATGTTCAGTTACTTTGTGAAGACCCAGCGTCCTGGGGGACGGGGATTGGTTGGATTTGGGGATCATATTTTCCTCCCTGAGTGGGGTGTATCCAGTAGCTGATGGGAACCACTGACAAGTCGTCCATCGGGCTTTGCATTGTGTTACACACCTGGTGACGTAACCCCTTTATTCTGTCTCCTTCCCGCCCTCTCTGACCCACAGGTGCAAATAGTCTACAAGCCAGTGGACCTGAGCAAGGTGACCTCCAAGTGTGGCTCATTAGGCAACATTCATCATAAACCAGGTAGCCCTTGAGGAAGGCAGGCTTTGGGATGGGAAGGTGCTGGCTAGGCTGCCAGGTGCTTCCTGGACTCCGCCAACCTGGGCAGTGAACAGTAAATGTGAAAGTGCTGTGTGGCCTGGGAGGTGTGACTATCCCTGCTGGCTCCTGAGAAGGGCCTTTTCAGCCTAGACAAGGGTGGAGGGAGAGGACAAGCTGGTCCCATACTCCATCTGTGGCTCTCCAGAAAAGCCTGTAATAGAGGACCAGCCGTGGGACTGATTGGGTCCCCAAAGGCCAGTTCTGTGGACACCTCAGCTTCGTTCTAGCCAGCATGGGGGGCCACTTCATCAACAGTTATAACGTGAGACCATTCTGGGCTGTTGTCCTTTCCTTGCTGTGACTTTGTTTAAACAAAGCACCCTTCCCAGAACAGCAGTACAGGTCACCTCCCCTCCTGCCACACCCGAGTGTGGTGACCCAAATCAAAGAGGCAGAAGGGGCGGGGGTTTGGGTTTCTCCTCTCTGTGCATTTGACATGCAGTTTCACCCCAAGGTCTTGTGGGGTTCCGCTTTACAGGACGATCATATGAAAATCTCCACCGCTGGAAGGCATTCAGTTTAGAGTTTAGCATGCCTTCTCCTGGCCAAGCTTCCTGTACCATTGGACCATTTCAGGAGGAAGATTTTGTAGAGTAAATATCCAATGTGCATCTCGATTAGAGGCGAGGCAGGTGGTTTGGAAGCCCTTACAAGGGCTGCCTTGTGGCTAAGCCTCCTTTTCCATAAGTAGAGCCCTGGCAACTCCCAGAGGGTGGGCTGTTCTTGTGATCACTGGCCCAGCCTCTGTTGGAGTCAGAATGGGCACATTAGCTAATGTTCCCCTCCAGAATGGTGACATCTGACCTAATTTTTATCAAGCCTCCAGCAGCCCCAGGCGCTTTGCTCTGCAGGCTGAGACTTCATTTAATACATGCTAAGTGCCCAGACCACAGAAGATGGCAAGCGGCTCTTGTGTGGGTTGTGTTCCAGGAGGTGGCCAGGTGGAAGTGAAATCTGAGAAGCTGGACTTCAAGGACAGAGTTCAATCGAAGATTGGTTCCCTGGATAACATCACCCACGTCCCTGGAGGAGGGAATAAGAAGGTAAAGAGGGACAACTGGGGAGGTCACATGGGGATATGGGGGTTAATGGAGTGGACAAGGCTGGTCCTAGAGGGTCCCATATGGAAATAGCTAGAGACAGATTCTCACTCTCAGCCCAGTGTACCAAGAACAAGGCATGAGACCAAAGACAGATCTTTCCCACTGGTTACCAGAAAGCTGGAGCAGAATAGTGATGAATAGTGACACTGGCTGAGGGTGTGGCTCAGCTGGTACTTAGAGTGACTGTTGGGCTGCCCTGTTTTTCCTCTTCGGCATAAACCACCTCCACACTTGCCTAGCCCCATATTGTGGAGGTAGCCTCCTCGGCAGGGTCCTCCCAGCAAATGACTGAACAGAGGGAATGTCCCGCAATCAGACCCAGCCTAGCCCGAGAAAGGGTACTTACCCAAGGAGGCTCAGCTGTCTTTCTACTTGGCCGTGTTGGTGGCCCCTGGGAGTCCCCTGGCTGGCAAGTCCCCCCAGATCCCTGCTTTCCTCTGCAGCCACATGTCTGCATCTGCTGTTTATGTAAAGCCCTGGTATTACTATGAAGCACCTGTTAAAGCACAGGACACACAGCCAGCAGGCCGAGAGGGCCTTGCCCCGAGATGGCCTCTCAGGGCAGATCCTCTGGCCTTCAGGACCCCAAAGTGGACATGGACCTTTGCTGCTCCAAAGCAGGAGACCCTTCAGTCTTGGAAGCTGTCAGAAGCTGAAGACAGGAGGCCATACCTGAGGGCTGCCAGGCAGGGCTCCCTTCTCTGGGAAGGTGGGAAAGCATCCTCATCAAAGGCCAGAGCTCTGCCTTTTCTGCCACACACCACTCAGTTTAAATGCAACGCCTCTGTATATTGCTCACATATGGGGCCTCTTGGCCCCAGGGGGTCATAGGGGGTCACAGGCCTAGCTCTACCTCAGTCTGACTCAGTGGGGCTGGAACAGACCTAGGCCTTGGAAATTCCCTGGGTCCGGAAAGTTCTCCACCAGCTTGGGAAGGAAACCCTGGGGAGGCAGGACTCCCTTGGAGGTCTGATTTAGGCAGATCTTCAGCCTCTTGGCTGTTTCTCCTTCAGAGAAATACCTGCACCCCAGATCCGAACAAAAGAACCCTGTATCCCAGGACTGGAAAACTAGAGAGAGGTGGATCAGGAGTTCAAGGTTATCCTGAGCTACACAGAATTGGAGCCAGCCTGGGCTATATGAGACCTTGTGTCACAAAACTAGAAACAGCTAGACATAATGGTGCATGCCTTTAATCCCAGCATTTGGGAGGCAGAGGCAGAGGATCTCTGTGAATTTGAGGGCAGCCTGGTCTGGACAGGTGGAGCTAATAGAATGACCCTGCAACATGCACGCACGCACACACACACACGCACACACACATACATTTTTTATCAAAGCTTCTTGCAAGTACAATAATAATATGGAAGGCCCCTGTTTATCAAAAAGAACAGCATATGCATGTAGCCTAAATGAAGGCCTAATTTTTCTCTATGTCCATATTCAAGCACCCAGCAAGAAGGGCTCTTCTTCACCGAGGGTCTCTGCCTCTGAAGTTGTATGGAAATGCAGTAGGTGTGCAGCATACATATGTGCAGACATGGTTCATAGCCTGGGATCCAGAACAAGGTTGAGGCATTTTGTGTCCACCCCTTATATGTAAATAACCTGCCTCAAACTGCCACCTCATGCTTTCTGCTTCCCTCTGGACTCCTGGCTATAGCATTGTGCGTCTCCACCCCCCACCGTGTATGCACGCGCGCGTGTGTTGCATGTACATGAGTATGCAGGTGAGCACACCCATGCACATACATGCAGAGGCCAGAGCAGAACGTCAGGTGCCTTCCTCTATCACTGTCCACCTTACTGTCTTGAGACAGGGTGTCTCACTGAACCGGAAGCTTGCTGTTTTTGCTGGGCTGGCTACAAGTGAGCTCCTGGACTGTACCTGTTTCCATCCCCAAATGCTGAGGTTACAAGTTACAGGCATGCGCAGATGCGCCCTGCTTTTTTGAGTGCCGAGGATTCGAACTGAGGCCTTTGTGTTTGCAGAACGAGCACTCCTACCCACTGAACCACCTCCCCAGGCCTGTGGTAGCGTTTCCTAGGAAGGGCTTCTTGGCATCACAACTTCTAGCACACGTGCTAGAGGGTGCCACTTGAAAATACCTTAATAATCTTTGACAAAAAGTGTGTGTATCATGGTGGCTACCGGTACCAGTGATTCTACAGCCAGCCCTTTTCCCTCTTGCGGCTTCTCCTTCAATGCCTTTAGCAGCAAGTTGGCAATGATCTAGCAAAGCAGAGTCCAGATCAAGGGGTGTGAAGCATCAGTACAGCATGTGTTCAGTATGCTTGAGGCCTCGGGTTCCACCCCCAGCACAAACAAACAAACAAACAAACAAATAAACAATCATTACATTTTTAGGATACACATACACATGTAAAATGATGTGTGGAAGGTCACTGAAGGTTATTCATACTCAGCATTGTAGTTGCAGAAAAATGGAACTGCCTCCACTTCTATCTGCAGGAAGGAGATAGATTTTGATGCAGATGCTGTCATGGTGTAGAATAAGTAGCCATTGGCATGAGGACGTTCTCTCTGGAATAACAAAGTATTAAGCCTGAACTTTGGTGGCACATGCCTGTAATCTCAGAAATTGAGAGAGGGAGGGACTCATAAGGACAGCTAGTTCCAGGCCAACCTGAGCTAAATAGTAAGATCTGGCCTTAAAAATCAAACCAGGCCAGTGAGATGGCTCAGAAGGTAAAGGTGCTTGCAGTAAGCCTGATGCCCTGAGTTCGGTTGCCAGGACCCAGATGTTACAAGGAGAGAACTAACTCCCACAAGTTGTCCTCTGATCTCCTCACATGCACTGGGGCACAAGAAAACACACACACACACACACACACACACACACACACACACACACACATAATGGTCTACAGAGTGAGTTACAAGCAGGCCAGAGCTAAATATTGGTATCCTGTCTCAGAGTAAATAAATAGATAAATTAATACAAACTAAGCGAGCAAGAATGAAGCAAGTATTAAGTAGAAGAAGCAAAGTGCAAAGCCCTCCCATATGGGTTAAATGCATGTGTTTACTTGCACATGCATGTATGTTTCTATGTGTGTGGGATGTTGAAAGGACATAGAAGCAGTGGTCACTGTCACTGGGCAGGCAGGTGAGGGATGGACCATGTACAATTATTGCTAGTTGGAAAACAATACAAATAAGTAGGGGTGGTGGCTCCTGGAGATGCAGGTTGGTTAGCAGAGTGCTTGCCTAGTGTGCAGGGAATCCTGGGTCTGACCCCTACCATTACATGAACTAGGTGTGGTGTCATATACCTGTGATTCCAGTGCTGGGGACAAGGAGACAGGAAGACCCAAAGGCCAAGGTCATCCTCAGCTGGATAGAGAATTCCAGGCCAGCCTGTGCTATAGGAGAGAACCTGTTTCAAGAATAAATGTATAGCCAGGTGTGGTGGCGAATGCCTTACAGCCCTCGGGAGGCAGAGGCAGGCAGATCTCTTGAGTTCCAGGTCAGCCTGGTCTACAGAGCAAGTTCCAGGACAGCCAGGGCTGCACAGAGAAAACTGTATCAAAAAAAAAAAAAAAAAAAAAGTGAATGAGTGAATGAATGAAAAATAAATAAATAAGTAAATAAAGAGTGGTTTGCTGCCACCACAGACTGGTGTGGAGACGTCAGGGTGTGTCTGCTCTCCCCAGCATTGACTTTCATCTCACCCTACACTTCTTGCAGATTGAAACCCACAAGCTGACTTTCCGGGAGAATGCCAAAGCCAAGACAGACCATGGAGCAGAAATTGTGTACAAGTCACCCGTGGTGTCTGGGGACACATCTCCACGGCACCTCAGCAACGTGTCCTCCACAGGCAGCATCAACATGGTGGACTCCCCACAACTGGCCACACTAGCCGACGAAGTGTCCGCTTCTTTGGCCAAGCAGGGTTTGTGATCAGGCCCCTGGGGTGGTCAATAATCGTGGAGAGAAGAGAGAGTGAGTGTGGAAAAAAAAAAGAATGATCTGGCCCCTCGCCCTCTGCCCTCCCCGCTGCTCCTCACAAACCGGCTGACCGCCTTGTCACCTAACCTGCTTTTGTGGCTCGGCTTTGGCTTGGGACTTCAAAATCAGTGATGGGAATAAGAGTCAATTTCATCTTTCCAAATTGATTTGTAGGCTAGTAATAAAATATTTTTTAAGAAAAACATGTAAAAACATGGCCAAACCCAACATTTCCTTGGGCAATTGCTATTGATTCCCCCATCCCCACCCCACCCCCCGCTTTGAGTATTAGAGGGTGAAGGAGGCTCTGGAGGCTGCTTCTGGGGAGTTCTGAGGGACTAGGGCAACTGATTGCCCGCAGGCAGCCCCATCCTGGGGGCGTCAGGGACAGTGGCAGCAACAAAAGATTTGAAACTTGGTGTGTTCGTGGAGCCCTAGGCAGGTGATGTGACCACGTGTGGATGTGAAGGAGGGCTGAGGCAGCGAAGGCTGAGGGATGGGTGGGCTGGGAGTCAGAGGGGAGGGGTGAGGAAGACAGGCTAGAGAGAGGACACTGGCTCCTGCCAAGTCGCTCAGGAAGGACAGGTAACCTCAGCTGCTCACGTCAGTCTTAGATGGCAGAGCCGCCTGTTTGGTAAGGCCCTGTGAGTGCTGTGGGTCTCTGTGCCCCTTCTGTAGGGCAGCCTGTGGGAGAAGACACAGTGGGCAGAAGGAAGGTGGCCAGAAGGTGGCCCCTTGTCGATTGGTTCTCTGAAGGCTGACCTTGACATCGCAGGGCACTGGCTTCCTCCCTCTCTGCAGGGTGGGAGTCCTGAGCTGAGGGGCTTTGCTCTCCTCTCACAGAAGAACCTCTTTGCTGAGTTCTGGATTTCTGCAGCCATGATTGGGCCACTTCACAGACCTGGGACATTAGGGCTAACCAGTTCTTTGTAAGGACTTGTGCCTCTTGGGGGACATCTGCCTGTTCTCAAGCCTGGTCCTCTGGGACTTCTGCAGTGTGAGGGTGGGGTGTTCTGGGATGATGGCTCCAGGTCTCCCATCCCTCCCACAGCCACTGCAGCCCCTCTACCTGTCCATCACACCCACATGTCTGCCATGAGAGCCAGTCACTGCCGGTCTCCCATCGTGTCTCACTGTCCTGAGTGCTCCGCCTCTCCCAGCCCCTACTCTGGCCCTTGGGTAGATGTGGGTAGTCCCTGCTCTACACTAAGAGGTGGAGTCCTGGGAAGGCAAAGATTTTGGGGCTCAGTTTCTAGTCCTACGAATCCAACCAGTGTGCCTGGAGATAACCCTGGACACTTCTGTCTGCTCTTTTTTTTTTTTGTTTTTAAACTTTATAGTGGTTGCCTCCTAGGCCTGGCCCTCTTCTCGTGTTGAGCTGGAGGCAGCCCAAATGCTAGCACCAGTATGAGCAGGCAAGAATCCCAGGGCAGGGTCACGCTCCTCCCATCTATCGCTTCCACCCCAGCTTGTGATCGCTAGCCTCCCAGAGCCCAGCCGCCATTAAGTCCCCGTGCACGTAATCAGCCCTCCATACCCCAATTTGGGGAACATGCTCCCTGGAAATGTTTTTCCTCCAGTCCCCATGAAAGTGGTGCTGCCTGCCCTGCTGGAGCGGCCAGACATCTCCATAGATACAGCCCTTCCCTCCCTGTCTGTACCCTGTTGTGTTATAGTTGGATTTGTCTGTTTGTCTGGGTTCACCAGAGTGACTATGATAGTGAAAAGAAAAGAAAAAAAAAAGAAAAACGGAAAAAAAAAAAAAAAAGGACGCATGTATCTTGGACTGTTCGTCAAAAGGTTCTAGCTCACCACCAGGGACGGAGGTCCTCGGTATTTCTTGTCTCCACTGGGACTCGGCTCCAGGCCAGTGCAGTGCTTCCCTGCTAGGACAGCCCATGCTTTTAAGGTTTTCTTCTGCATCTGGGACCTCACAGACACTGGATTGTGACATTGGAGGTCTCCTAGCTGCCAAGGCCTGAAGCACAGGACCAGCTAGACTCCAGCTGGCCTGTTTTGCAGAGTGAAGATGGTCCTCTCTAATCACAGCCTCACGTCCCACGGCAGCCGTGAAAGATGGTCTAATAAGACTGCATCACAAGAGAGAGAGAAAAAAGGGCATCAGTGCCAGCTGGGAGAGCTGTGGGCCTAGAAATCCCATGACTCTCCAGAAGACATCCCTGGGCCCTCTCCAAGCCTTGGCCACCTCACCACAGGGGTTGGGATGGACTGCCCCGCTGAGGAAGGGGACATCTTAGGAGACTCCCTTTGTTTCCAAGGTGTCAGCCCACTGACTTTGCATGATCATCTCCTACAGCTGCAGGGAAGAGGCCTTAGGAGCTTAGGGAACCACAGGCCCAGTTCTATCACTTTTGGATTGGGTACAGATAAGGACAACGTAGAGGGGAGAAGGAAGCAGCCAACCTTTCAAATGAAAGAACTGTGTACCCAGAACTACCTATGGTGAGGCTCCCCACTGCTGATGGACTTCAACTGTCCTTAGAAATGGTCTGATGGAGATAAAGGAAGTGTGGTTTGAAGGTCTGTGGTCCCTTCATCATGGCTACCTATTCTGGTTTTATCTCTTACACCACCTATTTGCCCATCTTGCAGTTCCTGTCCTTGAATGGGGGCACTCTGCCATATCTCTTGTAGGGTGGTCAGCTCCAAAGTCATGATTTGGAGTGACCAGGTCAGTGCTGATAGGCAGTTTACAAAGGGATTCTGGCTTGTGACTTCAGTGAGGACAATCTCCAGGGGCCCAGCATCTGTCCTTTCTTTCCATGCCTCCCCACTCCAGATCTTTGGGTGGGCTGGATAGGGTATACCATATGCCTGGTTCCTCCAAGCTCTTAATTCACTTTATCAATAGTTCCATTTAAATTGACTTCAATGGTAAGACTGTATCTGTTTGAGATTGCTTGTGCTGTAGGGGGAGGGGGGAGGAGCAACATGTTAACAAAGTTCACATGGGCAAAGCAGCTTTGGAGTGTAGCCATCTGTGACCTCATTTGTGATATTGACCACTTGCTAGAGAAGAGGTGCCATGAGGCTTTAGTCTGGAGGCTTGGCTGTCCCACTGAAAGGCTTTACCAAGGCAGAGGCAGCCAGCTAGTTCCCTGCCTTCCCAGGCAGGTGCACTCCCAGGTTTGTGAAGGAATCTATAAACTACTCTTGCCTGCTGCCTTCTTGTGGTATCCAGAGCCCACAATGCCTCCTTAAAACCCTGGCTTCCTTCCCTCTAAGTCATTAGCACATCAGTATCACCTCTGGATTGGCTTCAGATCCACAGCCTACATTACTAGCAGTGGCCAAGACCTCTTCCTTTAGTCTGTTCTCCAGTAAAGTGAGGACGAGGGCAGAGATGGTAATCAACTATAGGTCTGTGGCATTATGAGCCTTCGACCTTCTCTCTGGCTTCGGGAAGGGTTACTTTGGGCAGTATCTCAGTCTCACCCTCCTGATGGATTGTAGCCTGTGCAGTTACTATGCTGGGCATGATCTCCAGTGCTTGCAAGTCCCATGATTTCTTTGGTGATTTTGAGGGTGGAGGGGAGGGAGGGAGGGACATGAAATCATCTTAGCTTAGCTTCCTGTCTGTGAATGTCCATATAGTGTATTGTGTTTTAACAAATGATTTACACTGACTGTTGCTGTAAAAGTGAATTTGGGAATAAAGTTATTACTCTGATTAAACAAAATCTCTGTTCATGATTCCAAGTACAAGAAAACAATAGTTTACAAGTTCTTGTCCACCCTTGGAAAATTCACAACAGGAAATTAAAGTAAAAGCTAGACATTATCTGGGCGGTGGTGGCACACACCTTTAATCCCAGCCTGGTCTACAGAGGGAGTTCCAGGATAGGCTCCAAAGCTACACAGAGAAACACTGTGTCAAACAAACAAACAAACAAAAAGCCAGGCATTGGAGTGATAGTTTTCTGGGGTCCTGAAGATATAGAGTACAGACTTGGTTCCTTCTCATATCCCACTGTTGGCAAACGACCCTCAGACAATCAGTACTCTCTGGCTGAACTCACAAGGCTATATTCAAGTTTCTAGGGCCTGTGCCAGTTCATGTGAACGGAAGAAGTTTGGGGTGGGGTGTATGAGATCCCTCATCTCTGAAACTTAAGTGGAGGGGCCTGGGGCTGAAGCAAACTCAAAAGCCCAAGATGCAAACCCAACATGCATACACAGGTACTGCTGCCCTCATGCCTTGTAATCTTACTGTATATAGATCAAGGAATATTTCTGCTAGGGATAGGGCAGCTTCTTGCTTGCAGTATCTGAAAGGGAAACAAAGAAGTAACCCATATTTTTTGAGAAAGGCTTTGATCCTCCCGTACTGGGATAGGGGTGCACTATGCTGATAATGAGGTGTAGGGCCTCATGTATGCTTAGACAAGCACTCTAAGAAATTAAGCAATATCCCATCCTCAGCCCCAATTTTTTATTTCAGTGCTACAGCATGTGGCCAAAGGACTACCTTGGGTGTCAGTCTGTCCGCCCTGAGACATTGTTCTCCTGCACATGTGCCATGTTAGGTTGTCGGACTTCCTAGCTGCTAGGGATTCTTGAGTCCCAGCCTCCTATCTCACAGGAACACTGGGATTACAGATGCCTGGCTTTATACTCACTCAGGACCTCACACTGTGCACTTTATCCACTGGGCCATCTCCCTTACTCTGAGTTCATTGGTAGTATGTATGTCAAGGTCATGATAGTCCTTAGATTTCCAATCTTAAAATCCTTGTCTTCTGCAGTTCCCCTTGGTGTGCCCGGCCTCTGCAGGCAACTGATTTAGTTCAGGATATCGTAATTAATACATATAGAAGCAACACAAGCAAGAAAATGGTCCCAGGAAGAACAGCTTTATGCCTTAGAGAAGGTCCATCTACTCACTGATCCTGTACAACAGAATCAGGCCCTTAGCCTCCTTAGACGTAGCTGTGATCTTTCCCAGGTGACAAGAACCAACTCAGATACCATGCAAATTACATACATTTTCACTGATTTCCCTCTGCAAAGTTTGATGGTGAAAAGTAAAAAATCCCCATTAAAGAGAAATTTCAAATCCTACACTGCTTACCTCTTAAAGAAAGGAACAATGAGAAGCAATAAATCAATTGCTTTACTCATGAGCAGATATATCTTACCTTAGTGAAACACCCTTCACAACACCTACCCAGCAAGTCTCCTAACCCCAGAAAATGCTGAGGCTGCCACCTTTGCCAGAGACACCAGTCCAGTATATCAAGAAAAGCCGGACACATGACTTTCTGTATCTTTTTTTTTATTATTTTTTTCATTTTTCCTTCCTTTTTTTTTTAAGCACTAGTCTGTGCTTTGCGAACAGAATCAAGACATTAACAAAGATCAGCTTCTCTGAAGAAAAGCATTTCTATAGAACAAAGACAGCTACATGTCCGCTGCCATTACACAGCTCAAAGCAGGAAAAGAAAATATTTACAAAATACAAGTTTTTTTAAATTTTTGTCTTTTTTTGTTTTTTTTTGTTTTGTTTTTTTACAATGCTAAAAGGGTTATTCAGAATTTTCAACCTTATAAATAGAAGAAGCACTTTATGCATAGGGATACGGTGCATTATTGTTGTTTAAAGAAACAATGACAAACCTTTTAACTTGCAAACAGAAAAAAAATCACTAATGTTGAAAATTGTGAAAAAACCCCAACCATTAAGCAGTCTGCCTACTATTTTTGTATGATTATAAAATGGCAGAAAAAGAAAATTCCTTTCTCCCTCCCCTTTTTTGGTGATGTGATTATACATGAGACAGGCACAAGGCTAACAGGAGGTTGGTGGGGAACAATGGAAACCACAGCTAGGACCAGACAGTGTTCCACAGGCAAGGGGAGTGGAGAGGAGGGAGAGTCTAAGTGACTGTCTGACAGGGACGTGAAGGAAACATGATGTGTGACTCAGTGAAGACATGATACAGAAGTGATGCTGTGTATTCCACAGACTTCCTAGACTGTAGGGGAGTGGGAAGGGTTAAGCAATCCAAACCCTATCGTCATAGATGCTGAGCGGAAGGACTAACGTGTCTGTGTGAATGGATGGGAGGAAGATGAAGGGTACAACAGGGTTGACCTGAGCAGCTGCAGCAGGGTCCTGCAGTCAAGGAGCCAAGGCGGATGACCAAATGCAGATGAAACTGAAAACAGGTCTTCAAGGTCCAGGTGACAAGGAAAAGCTAGCCGCACTGCTGGCCCAGAGCTCAGTGAGAACTGACCAACAGAGCAAAGAAGCTGGCTGCAAGGGTGCTATAGCACAGAAGACCAAGGAGGGTGCCCAGCTAGAGCCAAGCCACAGACTGAGGGGAAAGCTAAGATAGAGAGCCCAGACTGCTCTTGCTCTATCCGCCCTAACCTAAGGAGGCTGTGCTGACTTGGAGCTTTCCAGCTGTTGCCATCTGGCTGGTGTACCCTATCGCACAGGTGCAAAAGAGAGAGAGGGTGATCATCTAATATTGGGAAGTCCAGTGATCCAACAGTGCAGAGGATATGCAGGACCAGGCCAGCAGGGTCTCTTCCTGAACTTGTCTGCTAACTGGAGGAAGTGCTCAGGTGTGACATGAAAACAAAACAAGAAAACAGAAACAACAAAAACCAAACCAACCAAAGGAGGATCTAAATTCCTTAAATTCACTAAAAACTGTGAAAATTCCAGCATATGATGTTTGAATATCAAACGCAGAGATTTCTGAAGCTTTAATGCCAATAGTAGTGAGTCTGTATAGAGTCTCATTTCCCGCTCATCTGTGAGTTGGGCGCTGAGCTGCAACTGTTGCTGCCAGATGCCGACTCTTGAGGGGGACAACAGGAGGCGAGGTGGGTGCCACCTCTGTCTCCCGACCAGTCTTGCTGCCTGAGGTGCGGCGAGTGCAGCGGGCTGCTATGTCCTGTGCATCCAGCTGCTCCTCACATTCTGCCTGGGGACTGTAAGCCAGAGGGAAGGTCCGCCGCTCCCACGGTTGGACAGACTGTGGACAGATAAGATGATTTGGTGATGATGACCTAGTTTCAGCTCATTCATTTCCTGCACCAAGGCCCTGCTCTCAAACTGTAGCCCAGAGTTGATAACCAGTCTGTCTACTATTATTGGGAGAAGTTTAAGACCACCCCTCCCAAGGTGGGTACCCTTTGAACAATGACCAGCACATTTCTACTGCACTTCAAAACAATGGAGAGGAAGGCTCTGCCTTTACTACATGCTGCCTCCTCTCATACTCTCCCCCCATTTAAAGGAGACACCCCTCACCTGTTCATCTAGCCCAAGCTCTGGTGTGGAGCAACGGGTGTCTTCATTGGCCAAGTGTCGCAGACTGTCCCGAGCCACGGGGGTAAGGGGGGCTGAGTGCAGTTCTGGGCTAATGGGACTCCTAGGAGACTGACCGTGGGAGAACTCTGACAGAGAGTGGCTACTACTGACATCAGGAGAGGCAGGCTGAGGGGTGGAGGGGTTGGCACTGCCCAACTGCGGGGTGGTCCGGCCGTCTGATGACCTGTAAGACCTATGAACCAAGGAATACACAATAAGTATGACCAGGGGGCATAGGCATTTCTTCTGTTTCTTTCTGCAGAGCAGTGAGAGGAGTTATTAAAAAAGCATCTACACCAAAGCAGTTAATTTGAACTGACAGCAACAATGCACTTGTAAGATTTATTAATTCCACTTGCTCCCACTTTTACCCACATAGGTAGGTATAAAACACGACAGCTAAGAGCTGTAACTATGAGCCTAAGAAAAAGTCCTGCCTAGTGAATTCACACTAGGGACTAGCTGAAGTTCTGAAAACAAGTCAAAGAAAAATAGGTGGTCTGCTGCCACTGTCTTTTTAGTTTGTGTAGTTTTTGTGGGGGGAAGGGGGGGAAGAGGTATTAATGAACATGAGCACCATGCTGCAGCATAAGGCATGGAGGTAAAAGGACACTTTTTAGGTAATGGTCCTCCCTTCCACTGTGGGTTTCAGTGATCGAACTCAGGTTCATCAATCTTGAAGGGCAGGCACTTTCAACCCACTGAGCCATCCAAAGTTAAGATTGTAAAACCAGTCCTCATCAAAAAGAGGATCAACTTGTGAGGCCTTCCAAACTCCTCTGGCTAAATCACTATGACAACCAATAGGCCTATAATCATACTTTCCCTGGCTACCATCCTCTTTCCTTCAACATATTCTGGTAACCTGTGCCTGCCCATTACCTGCTGCCCCGACGCTGGGGTGGCACACTTGTGGTCCACAGCCACCTTGCCCTCTCCATCTCCTCACATTTGGCATGCAGGGCGGCAAAGGCTGCATCAGATAGGTCCTCGATCTGCAACAGAGCAGTTTCATTGATCTCTTTTCCCCAGGAAGCTAAGGTTATGAATCAGCAGAATAATTCTAGAACCAGTCTTTCCCCGTTGTAGATGCTTCTAGTCAGAGATAGAATACGATTCTCGAATTTGACACCCCTATGTCTTAAGGCATTTTGAGTGTATGTACCATGACTGGTGTGGGTATGTTCTTCTAAGACAGTATAACTATGGTATTACCTCCTCATTCTCTTCATCAGGACTCCCCTTCAGAGACTGAAGATCAACCTCTCGCCAGCTGCAGGAATTAAAAAAAAAAAGAAAAGAAAAGAAAATCATGGGATTGTAGGCAGACTATGACTTCCCTACCTCCAATGAAGCCCCATATGTGAATAAATACCCCAAAGGGCAGAAACAGAAGCAGCAAGTTGAGGCTGGTAGGACTGTCAAACTCAAGTAAAATTTTAACTATTTAACATTAGTCGATTGGTACCATATAGGACATATCAGTCAGACTCTCAAAATTTATAACTGGATACATGAATTGCCAGCTCTTTACATGGACTCTCAACTTGCCTACAAAGGCTAGAAATAAAGATTTACAAGAACTCTGGTTTGATGTTGAGGTAACACATTCAGTATTTTAAAACACACACACACACACAGTCCGAGGGGCTTGCCAGGTTGTGGCCTTGGGTTGGTGGATTCATACAATGGAGTAAGATAAACTAACACAGAAATAACTTCACTCCTATCCAACACCCACCCACCCTGCTCCACTAACTCCCCTCACCCCCTTATTTGCTTTTGCTTTTTGAAACAACAGTCTTACTATGTAGCCCAAGCTGGCTGCAAACCCATGGCAATCCACCCGCCTGGGTCTCTCAACTGCTAAGACTGTAAGCATGTACCATCCATGTCTGGCAAGAAGCAACCCCCAATAAAATAAAAAAATAATAAAAAGAGGGACTGGAGAGATGGCTCAGTGGTTAAGAACACTGACTGCTCTTCCAGAGGTCATGAGTTCAACTCCCAGCATCCACATGGCAGCTAACAACTGTCTGTAACTACCAGATCAGACACCCTCACACAGACATGCATACAGGCAGAACACCAATGCACATAAAATAAAAATAAATTATTAAAAAAAACCACTCATACTCATTAAATAAATACATACAATTTAACAATAAAAAAAAAAAAGAAAAAGAAAAGAGAAAAAAAAAAGGAGACTAAGTCTCATTCTATACCCCAGGCTGGCCTTGAACCTGGCAATGACTGTCTAGCCTCAGCCTCCCAAGGTCTGGGATTATAGTCATGAGCTACCATGTCTGTTGACCCCTTTTTATTGTTGTTTTTGAAGACCCATAGCCCATTGTGCACTCAAGTGCAGACTCTTAAAAAGAAAACTCGGGGATAGGGACTGCTTGGTCAGGAGAGAAAAGGACAATAGGAAGAGGGACAGGAGCTGACTGAACAGGGATTCTACCTTGGAGTAAGGATTTCTTTGTATTGCAGTTTCTCAACACGAGTTGTTGCAGCAACAGACATCGGGATGACAATGTTGTTAATATCGAATGAGCTCTCTCCCCTTCTCCTCCTCACTGGCTGCTGTAAGACAAAAGTTTAATATGTTTCAAGGGATATATAATGCTATGAATTTAAAATCATCAGTCATATGGCAGGCTGACCATGCACACAGGTCCTGGGGTAGTAGTGGCCATCACAGCATCAATGTATATCTAAACAGACTGTCTCTGGCAGCAGAGTTCTTGGGGGGGCGGGGAGAGGATAACAGGTGCTGGCTCCAAGGAGTAAATCCCATTTCACAAGGCTCCCTCTAGAACTGCTAGGTTTTATAGGTGGGTGTCCTAGATCTACAGCCAATTTGGGGGTTCCTATTCCTTCATTCTACTAACACTCCTCTTTTAAAATCCTAAACTCCCTGTTACAGAACTGGAGGATTGCTCTGGTTAAGAGCACTGGTTGCTCTGGGAAAGACCAGATTTCTAGCACCAACATGGTGGCTCACAACTGTGTGTAACCCCAGTTTGGGGAGATGACATCCTTTTCTGACCTCTGCAGCCACCAGATATACATTTGCACATATATACATGCAGGCAAAACACACACACACACACACACACACACACACACACACACACACACACACACCATCTTAAAATCTGTTTTACCCCTTCTCCTTTGTCAACAACTTTGGCTCTTGAACACAATGTTTTCATTTAGTGGTGACTGTTAAGATTAAAAGCATTGACTTCTCTCACCAGAAAAGAGGCTCAAAGGACAGGCCCATCTTAACAAACCATCTTACCTTGTCTGCCATGAAAACACCTTCCTCTTGAGGATCTCAACTCTTCAGCTAAGTCTGTACCAACCACCTTCTCAGCCCTTACATTATTCTCATCTTTCTATTATTTTGGGAGAAAGAGAAGAGTGGAAGAAAACCGAAAAGAAAGACCTGTCTATAGTTTCCATCCTCTCCCCCTCAAAAGGAAATGTGTTCCACAGTAAGTGGGAACATTAAACCTTTGGGGAAGTAAGACTTTCAAGAGTCCAGTAACAAAAGCATAGTTGGGCATCTACGCTAGACATGACACCAAGAATGAATAAAGCCAGGTGTAGTGCCGTACATCTTTAATCTCAGCACTTGGGTGGCAGATGTAGGCAGATCTCTGTGAGTTCAAGTTTAGCCTGGTCTATACAGCAAGTTCTGGGACAGCCAGAGCTACATAGAGAGACGCTGGCTTAAAGACAGAATGAATAAAGCAAAAAGCCAAATGATCAAATCTCCTGGACAGAAGAAAAACTATTAGCTGCTTTTACCCAGAGAGCAAATACCTTTCCTGAAACAGCCTGTTAACTGAGCTGTGAGAGGCCATAGGGAAACAGTGGGATGACAAACATGTTGTCATGGCAACAATACAGCTGGAAACACCCAAGAGGCTGCATTCATACCCAAACCACCAAGTGTGGTCAGCCCACAAGGGGTAAGGAAGATGAGCTACTTACTACCTCCAACCATTATATCTATCTCCTTGAAAGGTAAGATAATTTATTCACTCCATCATCTTAAGACACTGTAAGAATATTTAAAAAAAAACAAAAAACAAACAAACAAACAAAAAACAGGATTTCAGATAGTGCCATGAATGATTCCAGGTCATCATAATTTTCAATTTCCTTCTTTATCAGTAATACTAGACAGTCATTAACTTCACAAATTTTTGATCATAGCTTAACTAAAATGGTTGAGATTTTTGGAATCTTGCCTGGCTGAATTCTGCAAGTAAGCATAAGTGAGCACATACCCAAAAGTTTCTGTCACTATCATACCTTGGCTGAAGTTCTATAATACACACAAGAAATAAGTCTTGAAGAAGCCCCAAGACAGACAGCTTTCTACCTTGGTCAAGAAGAAAACTCCCGCTAGAAAGACCTATGTATTCCTCTGAGACATCTCAGGCCTCTGGCCTGTTCTCTCCACTTGAACACCCCATTCTGCTAGCACTCATTCAATCCAATTTAACTACCTTTTCCTATTTAGAGCCAGAAAAGGGGGGAGAGTGGCAGCATTGAGAACAGCAAGTCATTTCTAAATCTGGTTTCACAACAGAAAGAAACAGGACTCTGACTAAACTGCCCTAAGAGTCACCATACCTAGCTTCTAAAATTTTCAAAGGGTTTTTAAAAAAGCCACTGGATTTAAAGACACACACAAAACAAACACAAGTTGTTTAAAAAGCACTAAGATGATTTTAATTCAAGCAATGACCACTGTGAAGCACAGCTACAAATACCCTGAAAGCCCCTATCTTGCCCACTTTGTCCAGGTACCACCTTGCTTCTCAACCTAAATTTGGTATATCACTCTCTCTGCTTACTGTTTAAATCCTGATTCCCTGAACAAATGAGGCAATAAGAACCAGAACCTGAGGAGCTGGGTGTGGTGGTGACGCAAGCCTTTAACCTCAGCACCTGGGAGGCAGAGGCAGGAGGATTTCTGTGAGTTTGAGGCCAGTGAGCTACAGGATAGCCATGACTACAGAGAAACCTTGTCTCAAAAAGAGCCTAACAGATCAGCACAGTGTTGTGCATAGAATCTGTATTTAGTAAGGTTAAATTACAAATGATCTAGTTCTTTTTTTTTTTTTTTTTTTGGTTTTTTCGAGACAGGGTTTCTCTGTGTAGCTTTGTGCCTTTCCTAGAACTCACTTGGTAGTCCAGGCTGGCCTCGAACTCACAGAGATCCACCTGGCTCTGCCTCCCGAGTGCTGGGATTAAAAGCGTGCGCCACCACCGCCCGGCCAAATGATCTAGTTCTAAGTCAACACTCTCCAGACTTATCAGGGCTTGAAAAAATGCTGACTGACCAAGTCCTGGACCTTAGAGTTCAGATTTTTAAATGAGAATTATTCTCTTCTCTATCATCTGATTATGTGAAACCCTTTGCTAGTGTTTGGCTGAGTGTGGGAGGAATACTATGCACCTATTCAGACAAAGTCTGTGAGTTGAGAAGGTGAAGGAAGAAGGCTATTTGGAAAAGAGTCTGATTTGTAAGAGCAAAGAACAATGTGAATTTATACCTGATGCCAGGAGCTTAGGGAGCACATTTTGTGAGCTTAGAGCTTCTCTAACTGATGCCAGGAGCTTAGGGAGCACATTTTGTGAGCTTAGAGCTTCTCTAACATCCCTTCTCTCAGGTCAAGGCTGTGTGGTGTGCTGGTGAGAGAGCTGACTCTGAAGTCAGCCTACAAGAGTTTCAATCACAATCACAACCCTCACAAGCTGCCTCACCTTATGAACTACATTTAACCCTGTGAAGCCTTAGTTTTCATGTCCACAAAATCAGGATTCATAATACCATCTATTTACCGAAGGACAGTATAGAATTAAATGGGATGGCATGTATATGCACTGATCCTTTTGCCTCAGACTCCTGAGTGCTAGAATTACAGACCTGTGACATCAAGTCAACAGTAGTAGTGTTTAGTAAATATCACAGCACCAGAATATTACTAATGTAGTTACACTTGTTATTGGTTATTGTGATTACTATAGAAGGGATGCTTGGATAACTATACTCAGTGTTACAGGTAAGTGTTTAATTAATTAGACTGTGTTTGCTATGGCTATGCAAATAGATTCCTGAATGGGATTTGGTGGTATACAAGGTAGTGAGTATGCCTTACATGGAGTAACCTGATGCCATCATACTTCTGCTCTGTACAGCTGAAAAAGCATGGATTCTGCCCTTTCCCTTCTACCCCACTGTTCATTCTAAGCATCCCACTGCCACTGATCAATAGCAGAAACAAGGAAACTGACTGTTGTCTTCAATGCCTAAAAAGATTAGTGCCATGGTATTCAGTTCTGGGTGAAATAGATCCCGAACAGTCACAAAGCACCTTCAAAGAACCTGTCTCTAGTCCTTCTAAGTAGGCAAGGTAGACCTTGCTTTCATAAACAGCACCCTAGCACTACTCCTGGGGGGTGGGTGGGAATCAACGAACCAAACCCATCATCAACAACAACAAAACCCACACCCTTGCTTCTACAGCAAACTTTCTACCCATGGCTCAGCAGAAAATCATTTTACTATGAAAAACAACTCCAAGAAAACTTAACAGAAGGTCAAGTACGACAACTATACTCTACATTGGTCTCTAGAGTTGTGATGAGTGCCCTGTAATCTGTAGAAGATCCTATCAACTCCACATAGGTACTTACAGATGTGCTGGCTGCAACTTGTGAGCTAGAGCTGGTGGGTGTGGAGGTGTCTGATGAGGTGGAGAGCTGTCTCACCAGGGGGCTGTGTGGTGGATGGTGAGTAGTTGTCAAGTAGCTCGAACTGCTCATGTCTGTGTGATGCTTCAACACTGCAAAAGTCAACAGAAAAGAGGGGAAGACATGGCTAAATGGATATCGTAACCGGTTCTACTTCTAACTTATGTTAGGAATGCCAGAAATACACACTAAAGGCAAAAAAAAAAGCTTTTTTAAGCCTAGAGGATAAAAAGCTGCAGCAACTAGTTGATGGAAATAGGGGACGGGGCAGATGTTGTGACAATAAGAAGTGACCTGCATTTAGAAGCAACAGTGCCCCCTGCTATGCCTTTCTAGAAAGTAATGGACAAAGCTTGGGATAGGGGATTTTAAGAGAAGCTTGAGCTCTGAGCAAGTGCCAATGCAGGTAGAGGTGCCGGGCCTGGCCCTACCTTCACTTCTCTCAGATGAATGGTCTCGCAATCTCATTTTGCTGTGGTTTGGGTCATGGACAGGTGGCGGTAGACTGAGCAAGCGCTCTGCTTTGGGAGCTGTCACTCGCTCCACCATGGGCACAGCCCCCACATCGTCTAAGTGCTGCCTGTGGGTCCTGTCAGGCCGGGTTTGGTGATGGGACAGCTCTGAAGAGGGGAACAAAAAAGAGCTGTGAAGTACATTCACTCAAATCTTATTTGAGTTCTGAGCTCTTCAGTTCTCCTTAGGCCAATGCTATATACCAAAGGCAGCACGATAGTCTTTGGGACTCAATCTTCTAGTTAATGGTACAATAGCTAGGACAGGGACAGGGAGTCACAAACAGAAATGTTAATACCAGATTTCAGAAATCAACCTGCCCATAGGTGGACCCAGTATCATGTTACTACTAGCTATTCACTGAACATTTTGGGTTCTGCCTATTTCAAATAGCTTCCAAAGTCTATCTGAGAGCATCCAAAACAAGCAGATACGGTTAAGTACACTGTGAGCTGAATTTGTATTGGGTAACTAAATGCTTTCTCCAATCCCTGAATACTGGCACAGCAAACCAGTAACTAGAGAATATAAAAGGTATAAAATACGGCAATAGTGATTCCAGAGGACTCCTTAGTTCTCCGAAACTTACTGGCTGTTGTAAGGAAAGAGTTGACCAACTTATGCCTGTCTTTACGAACTGGATCCGACAGACTGCATGGCATGGGTGCTCTGTGCTTAAGTGAAAACTTTTTGGTAGGTTTGATCTTGTCAAAAGGCTTGTTTTGCCACTGAGACTTCAGCATGCTCTGGAAGTGCAGGCTTGTGGGAACATCTGTAACAAACACAAAACATAGCAGGTTAGTCCAAGAACCTGGCCTCTGGGCTCCTTTCTCCTTGAACAGTGTTCAGTCACTGACTCTCCAGAGGTCAATACACCTCTCTGGCTTAACAAATAGTCTCACTTGTCAAAGCAGGGACTGTCATATGGAAGATCCACTTATGTGAACTTTACTGATGTTCATTCTATTCATAAGTAAGTAGTGTGACCATCTTGGCCTTCCAATGGGGATAAAAATATAAAACCTTTTTTGTTATATTGATGGGAGACTTACCTTTCCATGTTGATCTTATTGGTGCGGCAGACTATGAACATCCTATTTCAATTCTTATATTTAAACCTACTTCTTTCTACTTGTACAAGCACGATGTACACATTCAGCAATTACTTATGCTCCCAACGGGCCTAAATTGGTTCTGTGATACAGCACAGCCTCTGCCATCTGGCATTATAGTAAGTACTGTTACCCTTCTTCCAGTACAAGCTATGTCATCCTCCTTGCTCTGAAGCTCTATCATCTTGTCTTTGAGTATCTATGTGGGTGGTTTTTTTTTTTTTTGGTTTTTCAAGACAGGGTTTCTCTGTGTAGCTTTGCGCCTTTCCTGGATCTTGCTCTGTAGACCAGGCTGGCCTCGAACTCACAAAGATCCGCCTGGCTCTGCCTCCCAAGTGCTGGGATTAAAGGCGTGCGCCACCACCGCCTGGCCTCTATGTGTTTTTTTAAGCTGACTAGTTAATGTTAATTACTAGAAAACTAATTATAGTTTACTTCCTCACTACTATTTTTTATCACACATCCCCAACACCCTCTAAGACAAAGTCTCGCTATGTTGTTTAGGCTGGCCCCCAAATTCCTAGGCTCTAGTGAACCTCCTGCTTTAGCCTCCTGAATAGCTGTGACTGTATGTATGAACCATCATGCTTATCTCTAATTTGTATTTTCCTAAGAATTAAGTATTCTAGTAATTCCTGAGAAAATTCTTTCTAGTGTTATAATTATTTTCCTATAAACTTTAAGCTATTCTTTCATCTAATATCTAGTGTTTATTTACTAATTGTCTTTCAAGCTTCTGTGAAAAACCTCTAAACACAGCACTCAGAAAACTTAGTCAGGAGGATTGCCATGAGATCTAGGCTACAGCCTAAGAGACTGTCTCAATAAAATCAGACCAGGCCCTTTAGTACCTTCTCAATTTAAGTTGCCCATTGATCACTTACAGTGTATTTCTGAAATATATTACTGCTTTTGATTTGTTTTTTTTGTGACAGGATCTCTCTATGTAGCCTTTGCTATGTACACCAGGATGGCCCAAGCTCACTTTCATGCTACCTGTAAAACAAAACACCAACCCCCAAGCTCCAGGAGTAGCGGGGAGGGGAACCCACAAAAACCAAAAATAAGGGGTTTGGGGATTTAGCTCAGTGGTAGAGTGCTTGCCAACCAAGCGCAAGGCCCTGGGTTCGGTCCTCAGCTCTGGAAATAAATAAATAAATACACAAATACACTTGTGGCACTCACTGAATTGCTGAATACAGATCAATGCATGGACAGATTATTTCAGTACATGAACACGTATCTCTTTCCCTATTTCTTTTCTTTTCTTTGGGTGGAGCCATGTACTTGCTACATATACTCAAGCCACATCCCCTAAGCCCTTTTTAAATTTTCTTAATTTCTTCTCTCTATGATGTTTGGTAGTTATTAATAAAGTTTACCCCTCCACCCAACCAAGGGAAGTTGAGAAACTGTCTTTGATATGTACGAGAGGCTGGTCTTGAACTCACAGCAAGTTCTCTAACCTTGTGTTTTAATTACTGAGATTACAGGTAACATACTCATGTTTTTTTCAGACAGAGTTTCTCTGTGTAGCCCTAGCTGTGAGCTCAGAGAGCCGCCTGCCTCTGCTTCCCGAGTGCTGGGATTAAAGGTGTGTGCCACCACCACCTGGCAATATACTCAGGGTCTTGCTTCATAGTTCAGGCTGGCTTTAGACTTGAGGTGATCATCTTGCCTAAAACACCAAGTGCTGGGATTAAAGAATCTAAGCAACCACCTTTTTTTTTTTCTTTGTTTTCAGAGACAGGTTTCTCTGTGTAGCTTTGCGCCTTTCCTGGAACTTACTCTGTAGCCCAGGCTGGCCTTGAATTCACAGAGATCCGCCTCTGCCTCTGCCTCCGAAGTGCTGGGATTAAAAGCGTGTGCTGGGCTGGAGAGATGGCTCAGAGGTTAAGAGCAATGGCTGTTCTTCCAGAGGACCTGAGTTCAATTCCCAGCAACTACATGGTGGTTCACAACTACCTATAGTAAGACCTGGTGCCCTCTTCTGGAGTGCAAGGACACATGCAGGCAGAACACTGTATACATAGTAAATAAATAAATCTTTAAAAGTGTGTGCTACCACCACCCAGCTCACACTTGGGATTTTTAAAACAACAACAAAAACTTATTTTTAAATTTTTATGTATATGTGTGTCTCTGTGTGTAAGGTATGTACACATAGGGCAGGTATCTACAGATGCCAGAGGTCTCAGATGTCCTGGGATCAACACAAGTGCTGGGAACTGAACTCAGGTCCTCTGCAAGGGAAGTATGCATTTTAGCAGCTGAATCATCTCTTCAGGCCCCCAACTCTGGTGGTTTGTTTGTTTGTTGGAGATGGGGGTCTCTCTATTATGTAGCTCTGGAACTTGCTATGTAGACCAGGCTGGCCTTCAATTCAGAGATCCACTTGTCTCCAAGTGTAAGCCACCATGCCATCCTCATACTGGCTACATGAGGAACGTCTCAAAAATTCCTATCCCTTCCCACAAAAAAAGAAAACAACCTCCCTGCAAGATACACTTGTGTAATAGTGGCACAAATGTTGTGGGAGTATGCAACCACTTCAAACAAACAAACAAAAAACAACAACTGGATTTAAGGCCTATATCTGACACTGCTGAAGTAGCCAAGAACCTGAGACTATGTAGGTCATGAACCCCTAAGACTAGTAAGGGAAAACCTACTGCCACTATTCTGCTAAAGAAATACATCAATGAATTGATTGTTAATATATTGCTACACCCATTAATCAGAGTATCACTCCACCCTCATCAGAGAAGCTTCTTCTTGCAGTAGATAGTATTAACACAGAGACCAACAGAGATCAACAAATGGAAAATATGCTGAGTGAGAGACTTTAGGGCACTTACCCCTAAATATGTCTCCGCCCCCTTTGAATATCTATGAGGAAGAGAGCATAGAAAGATTCTAAACACTTTCCAGACACAATTGGACTGAGACACAGATGAACTCGTAAGACTGTGACAGCATTAAGACCTACACAGGTTCAAACTACACAAAAGTACAGTATTTGGAAGTAGAAGCAGACACAAAGTTCCACTCCTAAGCAAAAAGCTGTTTGCAATTGATAGCCTCTGAGAAAGAGAAAATCAGTTTTCTCCAATGGAGTGTCACTGGATGTATCAACCAGACACCAGGGCAAGCCCTACATCCCAGGGTAGTTGGACAGTACAAGATCGACTTCATGTTTTTATGTGTGCTTTTAATTTTGTTCTGTAATTTCTGACTTATTGGTTCGCTGTTGCTGCTGAGAGAGAAAGAACATGAAGTTAGTTGGGTATGAAGATGAGGAGGACCTGGAAGGAGATGGGAAAAAAAAATTTAGGCCAGGCAGTGGTGGCACACGCCTTTAATTCCAGCACTCAGGAGGCGGAGGCAGAGGCAGAAGGATCTTTGTGAATTCTAGGCCAGCTTGGTCTACAGAGCAAGTTCCAGGACAGCCAGGGATACACAGAGAAATCCTCTTTCAAAAATCAAAAACAAATACAACAAACACACACAAAGAAAAAGAATTTTAATTAAAAAATAGGAATTCCAGGGTAAAAGGGTAATTTTTCATAATATTCACTACTATAACACAGGAAAAAAAATGTTCAGCTATCTTAGGGAAAAGCTAAAACTATATAACATGTATCATTTTTAAGAGGCTGGGCAGTGGTGGCGCATGCCTTTAATCCCAGCACTCGGGAGGCAGAGCCAGGCGGATCTCTGTGAGTTCGAGGTCAGCCTGGTCTACAGAGCAAGATCTAGGACAGGCACCAAAACCACACAAAGAAACCCTGTCTCGGAACCCTCCCACCCCCCCATAGCTACCTTACAGGAAAAAACAACAACAACATAAATAAAAGAAAAAAAGTGTGTGCTACTAGGGCTAGATAGATGGCTCAGGGGTAAAAGCACTTATTGCTCCATTACAGAACTAGATTTTGGATCCCAGAATAGATGGCTCATAAAGGCCTGTAAAGCACAGCTCCAAGAGATCTAATGAACCTTCTGGCCTCTGTGAGCATTCACACCCATACCCAGACAGGTAGGCATGGACTCAGACAGACAGAGACACCTTTAAAAGAAAAAGTAAGTCATTTGACTACTTTTGTTCAGTCTACCTCCACTTTATTTTTTTGTTTGTTTGAGACAGTGTCTCACGGTGTAGCCTTGGCTGGCCTAAAACCCATAGGGATCTGACTGCCTTTGCTTCCCAAGTGCTAGGATTAAAGGCATGTGTCACCAACTCCAGTTCACATGGTGCTGGGGAAGGAATTCAGAGTTTCATCCATGCTAGGCAAGTGTTAACTAATTGAGCTATATCCCAAGCCCCTGTATAAATGCCATTTTAACTGTACTCATGAATTTAAAGAAAATTTATAGCCCTCTTACTTCTTTGTTAAAAACTTAAAAAACAGGTCAGGTGGTAGTGGCACACACCTTTAATCCCAGCACTCAGGAGGCAGAGCCAGGCGGATCTCTGTGAGTTCGAGGCCAGCCTGGTCTACAGAGTGAGATCCAGGACAGGCACCAAAACTATACGGAGAAACCTCTGTAGACCAGGCTGGCCTCGAACTCAGAGAGATCTGCCTGGCTCTGCCTCCTGAGTGCTGGGATTAAAGGTGTGCCACTACTGCCCGGTTCATATCCCCCCCCCCCCCCCCCC